ATAAAAATATTGCAATTTCTCTTCTCATAAAGAGAAAAAAGACTGTTATAATCTATAACTACTTTGATTTCATGAAAAAAAGATAATTTAAAGCCCAAAACACATAGCTATAACTTAGGGGGGTAGTTTTTTTATAGAAAATGCCATACTTTCCTTATATTTGTCCCATTTTGCTTTAGTGCCAGTAAAAACTTTATTATATACTGGGTGCAAATACACAGATTAGAAACACCAACATTTAGGAACCTTGCGTCCTATCTCTTTATCCTGTTTCATGTATGAGATAACCTTATCTTCAGGAGGCTTGTGGCTTCTTGGGATGATGAAGTAAGTAAAAGGCAGAAAGCTGAGGCAGACTTCAGTCTCTTGACTCTGGGTTAATAGACTTTTTTGACCATTACATTATCATACTGACTATTTTAGCTTCCATTCATTTTGCCAGGGGTTAGATACTGTAGCATCTACTCCTGTCTAGAGGAGAATATTCTGGACATAATCATTTCTCTGCCAATATTTATGAAAGTGAAGGAAACTTTTAAGAAAAAAAAAGACACAGTTCTGAGCCTGAAGCCCAACAAAATGGAATCCTTTAAGAGTATTATTGTAAAAATAGAAGGATAACTAGTAAAATATGTATAGGGAGAAGGCATGTGAGTGGAGGGGTGAGGATGGGCAGGGGTGAAACCATGAGGATGCAAAGTTTGGTAGCTGGAAGGAGGAGGGGAGGAAAATGATGAAAAGACAGGGTAAAGACGGGCACAGTCCAATGGTGATTTAATTTTTTGTCTTGCCTTTTAAAGGACTGGTTTCCTTTATTTTTTTTTCTTATTATGTACCACTGAATTGGACTGAACAGGCACAGGAGGATATTGACCCTCCTTCTCCAGCGGAGCATCTGGAGGATTTGAACTGCCTGCTTTTGGGATTGCAGCACAGCTGCATGTGATTGATTATATGAAACATAATGTGAATGAAGAATACTGTGAAATACAATGTCTAAGAACTTTATAAGCAAACCAATTAAAAAAAAGGAGTTAAGTGCCTCTTACCTGATCTTCAGATATGCTGCCACCCCAAACACCAACAACACCACAGCGATGACAGTCACCGTAATGGCTGCGATGCTGCCTGGGAGAAGGAAAAGCAAGAGAAGATGATGAAGGAAGAGTGGCATGAGGTGAGGCACACACAACCATGGCCATCTTCTGCCTGGCCCTATTTTCTTAGGCAAAGGAAAAGTTTATTTCAGATAATTATGCATACAATGAAGCTCCCGATATTAGT